ACATGCTATAAAAGACTAACAAACACATGAATTTTGAAAACGTAAAAACTAAAATCAGCAATAAGTAAAAACAATTGTGAAAACAGCTGCTAGAATTTAAAACTAGCCAAACAAGAGCTATAAGCTAGAACTGGCAAAGCAGTAGCTAAATGCTAAAATTTGCAAAACAGTAGCTTAAAATAATATTGCAAGTTTGCTGAAGTTTATTTCAAAGAGCTTAAGGCCTTGTCACTGCCATAAAGTCCTGAACGAGCAGAGTTGTTAAATAAATGGTTTAAGTAGTTAAAAGCAAACTGAAAGAAAGAGCTGACTCAGCATTTACAGTACTCRGCTCGTTTAAAGTTGGCTTCATTGAGTCTCAGATTAAAGATCAAACCATTTATTTGTTATAAACAAAAACCCGACAGATCCTCTGAAATGGTCACAAATCAGGATTTGTTAATATGAATCATTAGATTCAGAGTTTGGATGATCTCTGTTCTTTCTGCAGTTTGCAGCTGAACATCATCTCAGCCCAGCGGAGGAGGACTAGGAGGCGAGTARGATGATAATCCGGCGTATCCTCACTCACGGGACTCTGTGGCGGGTGGCAGCAACGCGCCCGGTCACTGCCGCGGCCTTTGAGGGCGCCGTGATGATGCAGTGCTGCGCTCTCCGCCTGGCGCCGCTGCAGCCCGACAGCCGGCGGTGGCTCTCAGCGTCGGCCCTCAGCAGAGCGGCGCATCAACCCAAGCAGCAGCCCCCGCAGGACGGACCCCAGTCCAGCTCCACRCCTCCACTTCAGGACGTCCAGAGGGGAGAAAGTGGGCCTGATCCTGCAGAGGTGGACCCCCTGCAGGACAAGTCCATCGGCTTGTTCCAAAGGTTCAAGAAAACCTTTAAACAGTACGGAAAGGTGATGATCCCCGTCCACCTRCTGACATCCACCATTTGGTTTGGTACCTTCTACTATGCTGCTACGAAGTGAGTCAGACTTTATTTATGAAGTTATATATATATATAAAATTCACATTCCTGGACACATTTTTAACCTTGGTTTTCTGTTGTTTGGTCATCTCAGGGGTGTGAATGTGGTGCCATTCTTGGAGATGATTGGTCTACCGGAGTCTGTGGTCGGCCTTCTGAGAAACTCATCAAGTGGGTACGCTCTGACTGCGTACGCCATGTATAAGGTACTTTTACCTCAGGGCCATCTTTGTGTATTAAGGGAGGTGGGATATTGCGTATTTTCCAAGCCCCTTTCACAGTTCAAATCTATACCACAATCATGTAACCATGTGACCTTCATTTGTCATTAAAATGCAACACTTTGCRTCGTAGTCTATCTAAACACCTGGAAATTGGCCTCTGTCTCTTTAGAACCTCCTACCRTTTCCAACASTCCCACTTCAGCATRTCTTCACAACAATGCTTCATGCTGTTTGCAACCTTCATAGAAGCATTGTGTTTTGTTGTAAAAAAGGAAAGAAAGAAAAAAGAAGAAGCAACATTAGATAATATTGGTTTTGGAAAATGRCAACTCGGGATACAGGTGAATTTTACTGGAGCGATCCCACATTGGATAATTGGATTGGGTACGTTTTCTGAAGWATTAAGTACAATCATCTCCACGGCTGACTGTCCGCCTGCACCCTCACTCATGTGATTATTTATTTATCTATTTATTTTTTGCGAAAATTACAGATTTTTGATGCTCATTGTACAGGTAAACGTTCAAAGGTTTGACATATATGGTAGAGCTGGGATACATGGGTCTTTGAAGAGGTCCAGATCTTGATGAGCTGTGTTTCATTGAGCCTTGCAATTTTGAACAAATTACGTCATCATGTATGCCAGGGCTGTTCAACTGGCGGCCCACGGGTCACATCCGGCCCGCGAGTGACCAAAGTTTGGCCCGCCAATTGGTTCATTCATCTCTTAAGCCCAACCCCCCAGTTTTCTACTTTAATTACTGTAAGTTCTTTTAGTTAAACATAGACATGTTTGGTGTCTACAGAAACGTCAGAATCTTGGCTACAAGCTGGTATAAACCATTTCTATGCACACCAAAGACAGTTAAAACCACAAGCAGTTGAAAATAGAACTGTGAAAATGAAATTGGTTAAAAAATTTGGCAAGTCAGACATGTCACAATATTATTTGTGGTAAAGAAGAGGCAYAATGCGTTATTCTTGTTGTTTTATTATCACTACTTTTATTACATAGGGTTCTGTATGTTGTATTCATGATTAAATGCAACAAAACAAACTACTTAAAAGGTAACAAATCTTTGTAATACATGGTTTATTTACATAATGACTAATTGCTGGATGTTCGGCCCCTCAGCTGTTGGCCTGCAGTAAATGTGGCCCCTGTTTTTTGTGAAAAAGCGAAGGAGAAGTGATTGTCTCTGTGGTTAAGGAGGAAAAAAATCAAGCTACGAACAGCCCTTTACTGCCCGCAACTCAGTTCCTGTTGTTTGTTGTAAGCAGCCATTCAAAAAAAGTTGGATTATTGGCAAACGCCACATCTCTAGCACAGGGGGGCTCTTACAAGATGTTTCAGCTTGGTAATATATCTCCCAGTCATCACTTCATACATGTACGTCTTTTTTGAGAAGAAACTATAAAATAGTTCGTTATGAYGCCATGTTTTGCAGTGAAATCATGTAAGATGTGTTTTGCTAATCTGGTGAAGCGTTGAGGGKGAGGGGTGCTCTGTGGGGCGGGAGCTCGGCTGCAGACTGAGCTCCAGGGAGGAGCTTTGTACAAATAGGCGGAGCTTTGTACCAGCATGTGTTTAGGCAGCTCCACATGACCACAGGATTTTCAAGGATTTCTCAAGCATGCACGAATGAGTCAAAGCATGAGGTAATGACATTATAGTATGATATAAAGATCAAAAAATAGATTTTGAATAACGCTTCCCCTTTAATACTTAAATGTTTCAGTCCAAAAAGCTGCACTTCATTAATGTTTAGATGTAGACTTGTCTTTTCAGGCCGACTAGAAAAGAGGGTCTAAAATGCCAGGTAGTCTGGACAGTCGCTCCTCACACCACATTTAAGAACAAAAGCTCTATAGATGTGTTCAGGTGCTTCTTTCTGCTCACCACTTTGTTGTTGTTGTTTTTTTTTTGTCATCTACAGATTGCAACTCCTGCCAGATACACGGTGACTCTAGGTGGGACGTCACTCTCTGTCCAGTATCTCCGCAAGCACGGCTACTTCTCCACTCCCCCACCAGTCACAGAGTACATCCAGGACAAAATGGAGGAGACGAAGGGGAAGCTGACGGAGAAGATGGAGGAGACGAGGGACAGGTTCACAGAGAAAATGGAGGAGACAAAGGGACGCATCTCTGGGAAAATGGGAGAGACTAAAGACAAACTTTCTGAGAAGCTGCAGGAAACTAAAGACAGAGTCTCGGAGGGAAAAGCCTTTTTCAGAAAGAAGAGCGAATAACGACTCACTCTTCACGTAGCTCTGGTAGATAAATGATCTGTGTTTGGAATCGATGAGTAGGGGACAAAGATGGAGAACTGAGACATGTGTCCGTTTTTCCCTCCAGTCATCACTTTAAATATCAGATCAGTCCCTAATTGTCTCCCACAATGCACTGCAGATGTAGACTAACAGCTTAGCAGACTGTTGGCAGTTCTACTTCATGTTGTCTCAGACTGGATTTACAGATTCAAACAAGCTGGATGTAGCTCCTGATTGGCTGAACAGCAGCTCTGTTTTTATTTTATTTTTTTTTTCACTTTAACACTTGAGAGACGTCAAAGATCCTGAAGCACAGAAGCGGAAAGAGAGCCACACTAACCCTTCTGCTTGTATGGAAAATAAAACTTGAAACTCCTCGTTCTCCTTGCAGTCAGTCCATTAAAGCCTTTTTGAAGGCTGGAGATTTCACCTGGTGTCCTTCAGTCTGTGATAAAACAGTTTCACTTTTTAAAGTTCCTTTTTTCCTCTCTGACAGCCAAAGCTAATTTATCACAATGTTAGAGGTGTTTACACGATGTAACACATTGACTGAAAGTTGTGTTAAGTGATTAAATCAGATGATCTTTTGAAAGTTTAACTGAACAGAAATGTTTGTTTATATGAGATGATTTGGTCACCTGGACAGGTCTCCAGTCCATCACAGGGACAGACAAGCATTCATTCATACCTAGGAGTTACCAGTTAGTCTAACATGCATGTTTTTGGTCTGTGAGAGGGARCATGCAAACTACTCAGGAAGATCTCTGGTTGGAATTCGATCCCTTCTTATTAAGAGGCAACAGCCCTCCATACAGCTTGACATAAAATACCATAAATATCTCGAACATTTCTAACAAACTTAAATGGAAAACGGAGAAAATAGTGAATTTTTGGGTCATGGATTCAGTGGGTGATGCTACAGAGGTCTGGAGGCTTGGTGGGGGACATTTAAGACTGAGCCTGGTTTTAATCCAAATTATTTCTCRCTGCATTAAAACTACACTGAGATAATCCCACATCATCCAACAGTACAAAATCCTGGGAGTGATTTAACAATTTTAGTGCTTTGGGTTTAATCTCTCTCTCAATGTATTTAGATMAAACATTCCAAGTTAGTGAAACAGAAATATTTTAGCAGAAAGAGAGAAGTAAGTTGTGTGCGGTTTCACATGATTTCAATATGTAACAATGAGTAAACTACTAACCAGAAAAAACACTCAGAGGGAGCCGAAGAGTTAAAGGTAACTGAAGTGGACCACTTCAAAGGATTTTATTACTTCAGGTGAACTCTACAAAATGAAGCTGTTAAAAGAAGCCAAATGATCTCTAATAAATGAGGAACAATGTGCAAAAAATGTTATCCATTAATGAAACAAACGTAATACCCAAGAACAACAAACTTACATTTCCTCAGCGGAGCATGGTGGCAGCAGCGTCATGGTTTGTAAAAAAAAGATGTGTCCTGGTACTTACCAAACAGGTTTCTGGTACTCACAGCATACTATGAAGTGATGGGTTACTTTGGTACTCAAATGTTACACACTCTACCAGCCCAGGGGTGGAGCCAGAGGTGATACTTGAGTAAAAGTACAAGTATCTTACAAAAAAATTTGACTTTGGTAAAAGTTAAAGTCTTATTTAGGAATATTACTTGAGYAAAAGTCTTAAAGTATCTGAT